CTAAAAATTAGTATGCTGGTTCACCCCCTGGTACTGTTATTTGACGGTTACATCCGCCCATTTACCACTTTTCTGCAAAATGCAAAATTGTCATTAAAATTCATTTATATATTATTTATTTGATCTGCACGAATTGAGTTCCTAATGGAGAAATGGCGTAATATAGAAATCAAATACCGCACGATTCGTACGAATTATTCAGCTGAGCACGAGTAAGTTTATTATATGTACTTCTTTTAACCCCACGTTGCGACATAAGCTTCACTAGAAGGAACAATGAAACTGTAATAAAAAACAACGTCCTTTATCACAGAAAACTTTCTTAAGCAAATAACAAAAAAAAAATGGAAAAGCTAGATACGACGGTGCATATTTAGCTCGGGGATGCGAATGTAATCACACTTGTTCTTATAGTAGGCATCAGCCATCTCATTCTAAGCCAACCTATAAAGATCTCATCGCTTGCTAACACCCTTCAACATCTGAAACTAACGTGCGTCAGCTTTGCGTTCTCATCATAATCATAAAGAAGCTATTTCAAAAAGAACGGTTTTCATGTCGAAGAAACTAAATTAGGTTCCAGAAAATCTCATCAGCTTATGACTTCGGCAAATGCTCTTTCAATAAATTGTTAAAATCAATCCTCCTTCTGACTTTATTGTAGTTTCGCTCTCCCGGTTTGTTTACAATTGCTTCTATCGTGTACTTTTGTGGTAGATAGGGAATAAATTTCGCATGCTAAAAGCACGACGTCAAACACGATAGAAGCCTGTATGTAGATACTGTTTGTATTGAATTTCGTGGCGTTTTATTCCTTCTGTTTATCTAAATTTTTTTTCTTAAACAAAACTACACTTTACCTTATTGAGAATAAAATTAGGAAACCTTCCCTGTGAACCGAAACGGCAACTACTAGGGACAAAGAATTGACACTGCGTAATGGTAACAAGTACCCCTCACGTAATTTTCTAAGTATAAAAGTAGCAGTGAACCAGTGGCTTACCTATATCCAGTTTGTCTTACTCTGTGTCTTTCGTTACACAAGCTTCACGTGTATTTGGCTTTTATGTGGAATTACTCAGGTGTGATTTATTATTTGCCTCATATCGATTTCATTAAAACGATATCAATTGCACGGGAATGAATTAATTCTAGTTCCGTGACTTGTGCAACAATAAATAGTTATCTATTATACAAGACGATAATGGGGTGTGTTATCCATCGAGTAAAAGAAGTTAATCCTAGCCACGAGTGAATTAATCTTCATGAAATAATTATAAAAATTCCGAAAATTCTGTAGGTATTTAATTTAGACGTTTTCATGGAAAAAATATTGTTTTCTGTTCGCAACTTGATTTTATATCGTGCTCCGCGTCCCATTTTTGGCAGATGTCATTGGAATGCACAATCATCTGTTTCACATTATACCCTTGCCGTTAAAGTTATGACTTTATCTGCCCTTACGGTTAAAAAGCCTACTCACTCAAACCCATTAAAGTGTCAATTTAACATTTGCTATAAAATAAAGAGACATTAAAGACTACTCTTCAAATATATTATTCCTATATTGAATAAGGTGGAGGAGGTGATTGCAGCTTTAAGAAGTGAACTCTATTCAGGGTACATATCAAATTGTAAAAATAGCCGTAATCTCTTTTTAAATAAATATTGTTACAATAACACAAACAAACTATGTAACTTATGTAATAGAAAGGAAGAAGAAGATGTATATCATTTTATTGCAGTGTGTCCAATTTTAGCAGAATTTAGATCTTCATTTTTCAATAAAACTTTGCTAAGTTATTATGAATTTAAAGATTACCTGAATGGTAAAGATCCAGTTAATCTCATGCTGTATTGCAGAGCAGCATGGAAGTATAGATTTCAGTTAGTTTCATTATATTAAATACTTAAATTGTTTGCTTAGGTTAGTTATAATTTTTTTTCTTTTCTTTTGCTGCTATATATAGCAAAAGGGGGCTTATTTTATTTTATAGTATTTATATTTTTATTTAAGAAGCAACTCCTCAGACGGTCTACGAACCATGAGAATATGTCTTTTGCCAAACAATGTTTTAGGTTTGTATTTATTATGAGGTATAGCAAAATAAAGATAACTATTATTATTATTATTATTATTATTATTATTATTATTATATTAAATAATTGATTTTATTATAAAACGTAACACAACAAAAAAATTTTAAAATTGCCAAGTACTTGCTGAATTTACTCTGTACCGTACATGATCTAAATTCAAAAATCGCGCAACAACAAAAAATGTCTACTTCACACCCTAAATCTGACTATTCAACTGTTAAACCAAACTTCATCTATCAAATTAATAAAATTTTCATATCTATTTATTGGACCGTGCCCAATTGGAGGCGGAAAATCGTCAAGAGCCCTGAAGCTGGAAACAAAAAGTTGTAGCTAGGAACGCCATTTCCATAGCTACCTGATAAAATAATTTAATTGTGACACTTGCTTACTTTCTGACATTCTTTTGTTTTTCTGCTGCAAGTGTAGCTACTCTACTTTTTTCGTTTTATTTATTATCACGGCCTACTTCTATTTATAAACATATGTAATTAATTAATGTGTAACTATTTTTGTGAAAAATATTGAATAACCTAAAAATACGGGGTTTTGGCACAGGACATCCCTTATAAAAATTGAAGAGCACACAAAATACTATTGAATAGACAAATAAAATAGTGGTAGTTCCATTAAAATAAAATAGTTATGGCAGTTTGAAATATGGAATTTTTTTTCTGAACACCCTGTATCACTAAATTTAACTTTCTCATTATTATGCCTCTTAATCAGATTAACATTATTGATTAAATGTATTTCTTAACTTTAAAAATCAAGATCGCTACGATTTATCAAAGTGGGGCTTGCTTATGAGCAATTGTTCGTCTGATAACATTGACAAAAAACTAAATATGAATAGGTTTCCATGCAGAGGTTATTAACGAAACAACTAAAACTGTACAGGGTATTCCATTTAAAAAAATCACTTGTCTATTTAAAATGTGTGTGGATTGCAGATGAGCAAGAATCAATTTTTAAAATGTTAATTAAGGAATAAACCTAATTATCGCCTTTTTTATTTACCTTGTCTCTGTGGTACTTCAGACGACGACCTCTAAAATTGCAACTTAAAATACCGCAAGACATAACGTAAAATCTAGGGTCCTAACTCTAACATCTAGGAGGTCTAAAGGTACCTTTACACTATAATATATCTCACATGATTTTTTATATGATATGTTATATGATATTTACTACCAACATATTTTTGAGTTTTAATGTTTTACTTTACACTTGACAGGTTTTTCATATGACTTTAATACAAGAAGTTACGAAACCTATATAACTTCTCTAAATTAAAATGTTCCAAGTTCCAAGATTGGGCTACTAGTTCAAAAGTTACAGCCCTTTGAATTTTCTTTCGAAATTGGTTTCTAGTCTATAACTTTTGATTGAGAAGTCTGATCGAAAAAGTACGAATTGTTTTGGATTCTACGCACCAAAATTAATAAGAAAAAGTGTTTTCCCGAGAAATTTTGGTGCAGTCGATTTTTGGTAAAAAAGGAAGGTTATACACTGCCTTTTTTTGAGCCCCGAAAAAAAAAAAATTGTCTCAGATCGACCCGGAAAAAAATTTTTCTTATAGAATGTGGCCTGTAGAATCCATAATTTCAAACAGTTCCAAGATTGGGCTACTAGTTCAAAAGTTACAGCTAGGGAATGCAATCCCGCAACAAAATCTCAATCCCGGTATTTGCGGGATCGTTAGATGTTAATCCCGCGGGAACCCGGTATTTGCCGGATCCCGCAACATTTTAAATAAATTGGCAAATAAGCAATTTTGTGCGGTTAACTCCTGTATTAAAATAAATCGCTAATTATCACAATAAGTACTCAACAAAAAAGTACCTTCAGGCTACCTTAGAACTCAAAAAAATCACCTGTAAAGCACAACTTGGTGAACTTCTAAAGTGCCTCAAAAATCATAGTACATTTTTAACGAAAAAAGTTTAACAATTATTTTAAAAATAATTTCTCCGTTATGCGTTTCATTAACAAAGCAAACAGAGTCGTCCCCTTGGTCGACATTAAGGATGAGTGCACCCTTATTTGAAAGATTACCCCAAACATTTGAAGAGTTAATTACCAATCAAGACACTATTTGACAATGTGTGTCTGAAAACACCACTACAACCAGACAACCAAATACCAATATACTCGTAAATATTTATTGCTCGATTTATTGTTTATGTAATTTATTCTTTCATTACTAACTAATATACCTATAATCATTGATTATACACACCTATCATCAATGATATAATCAAAAGTTTACTGGTTTACTCAAGTATTCAGCTTTTTCAGATAAGTACAACAGCAAAATGCGAAAAAGGGCGGGATCACTTGGATATTTAAAATAAGTCATGTCATTTGTCATGCAGAAATAGAAACATACTATTCCATGATTTACGTATTATTTCCATGTTATTTCCTTATGATTTGTCTTATGACAGTCATAATACCAAAAATAGTATAGTGTAAACACAAATCTAAATGCTTGTTACTTATATGACAAATCACATGAGAAGTATGATAGTGTAAAGGTACCTTAAGTCTAGGAGAAGGTGAGTGGTATTAACCAGAGTCTGGATAGCGAATACTTTTACATAATTACTAACAATAAAAAATAAACTAAATATAACGCTCGTCTATATCCATGTGCCCTTTTATCTATTAATTTATTACACTCTTGAGATAATGCTTATTTTTATGGACTCGATTGTATTTTTCTTTACGTGGTGATGTTGAAGACCGCATCTTGTAAATCTCTATAAAATGATATCTACTGATCAGAAATGTTTTTGAAATACTTGAAAGTACGATTATCTGAAGTGATAGTGTTATTTGCTCCATCAAATTTTGACAAACAAAAAATTTAACTTACATAAAGCCAGATATAAAAAATGAGAAGTAGTTCGTTGAGGATTTCCGCGAAAATGAGGGTAAGTTTTTTCTTGGTTGTTTCTTGTTGTATCCATAAATAATACCCTGAGTGCCATTTTCGAAGAATCAAATTGCAAGATGTCGTGTATGTACTTGTTGACTATCAGGCAGAAAAAGATATGTTGATTACATTGATTAATTGAAACTTTTCTTCGTAGATAAACGAAATAGCGTACCTAATTTTACTACTAGTTTTGGGCACATGCGAATCCACACGTCCCAATAAGTTTCAGACTAGGGCGACAACGTTGATTGAACGCCTTCCAACTCGCATCGTTCCTATAAAATACGATATAACTTTAAATCCAGATATTAAAAATAGAAGTTTTGTTGGAACCGTACGAATTGATGTTCATGTTAAAGAAACAACTAAAATCGTAACTTTACACGCTTATTATTTAGAAGGGTTCGATACAAAGACTGTAAAGCTTGCAAAAGTTCCTGATGGAAAAGTGATAAATATCGAAAAAATTGATCTACAGCCTGGCCCTCAATTTCTAGCAATAACTTGTAAAGAGGATCTAATTGCCGGAGAAAAATACATACTGGAACTTTTAAATTTTACTGGCATATTATCCACGACAGAAAAAAGAGGCTTTTACTTTGGACAATACAAAGATAAATTCAACAAGACACAGTGAGCACTGTTACAAATGATAGTTGATCCAAATTATTTTATTTACTTTTAGCGAGTTTGCTACGACACAATTTCAAAGCTTTGGAGCCCGAAGAGCGTTTCCATGCTTCGATGAACCCTACTTCAAGGCTTACTTTACAGTTCATTTGGTTAGACCGAAGGACTACATTTCATTGTCGAACGAAGAACTGATGTCCACAAAGTAAGTACTCAAAACATGCACCGAACGTTACACTCCAGTCCATCACTTTAGGCCATACGATCAAACCGACAAATATATAGACTCCTACCGTATCACGAAAAGAATGTCTAGCTATCTGCTTGCATTTGTCGTGAGCGACTATATCCCTACAGAAACACGGGAAAAGCAACGTGTATTTGCCGACAAAGACTCAATCGAAAACGGCGAAGGCGAATACTCGCTTAACTTGGGAATTCAAGTCCTCAAGAAACTCGAAGAATTTACTGGAATTAACTACGCATTCAGTAAATTGGACCAAATCGGAATTCGAGACGCGGATTTTTGGGCGAGCGGGATGGAGAATTGGGGTTTGGTCATCTACTGGTAAGATGGAATTTATGTGACACCAGCTCCTACTTAAATATAATTTTAGGAAAAGCTTATTGGTTTACCCTCTCAAAGAACAGACGACGTTCGGACGTGAGATGACTATGATTTATATTGCGCACGAGTACGCGCACCAGTGGTTCGGTAATTTAGTTACTTGTGAGTGGTGGAACTACACGTGGTTAAATGAGGGATTTGCCACTTACTTCGAAATCATTCTTCCAAAGATGGTAAGTTGTATCCTGTGTTACGTTCTCGTTTTTTTGCACCGAATCAGTTTAATAATAATCATAATTAGGGAATTAATTGAGAAAGGGATGTCAATTTGTGATTTTTTCCATTAGTTGTATCAACAAAAAAACCAAAATCGTTTCCATAGTACAGAGGGGAAACTAGTTCGGATATTTTTTTTGTTTTTTTTGTTCAAGATTCTGTGCCTTGTTGACGCAAGGTGTTTTTAAAATTTTTTTAATTTTCTTATCGTCTATTATTTTTGATTTAATTAATGGATCGTAATAAATTTAAGTTCATTAATTTCTCACGGAGGTAACACAAAAGCTGTCCCTCCGAGATACTACCACATGTGGTATATCGTTGAAAAGAGAATTTTGTGCAGTTTTAAAATACGTAGCAATTGAGTAGATTTCATTTAAAATTGTTTAATTATTTTCTGCACCTAATACATTTTTCAATTTTTTTTGCTATATAACAGATAATACAAAATTAATTGGAGCACAATTTTTCTTCTGTAACATTTTGTCATATCCGCTATGACAGATAAAATCAAACAGAATATACAAATATAAAGTGTGTTCTAGGTCGAGTGGGATTGCACGGCTAACTTTCTTATTATTAACGAGCTCCTAGCGAATTTATAATTTTGCGATGTCTGTCCGTCTGTCCGGTCTTTTCCTTGAATGACATATATCATCATAAGTATACGAGATACAAAAAAATTTTATATAAAAGTTACTGATGTCGCTTAATTTAGAAAATTAAATCAATAGTTTTTATATTTCAATCAAGTAGTCCGCGATGAATTAAAAAAAACAAAATCTATTCGAGGCAACAAAACAATGAAAATAATTACATCAGGCGTTTAAAATACTATCATTATTAGTGAAACACAATTCAAGACAATTTACTTTAAACAACGTATTGCCATTAATTAGGCTAAAGCTATGCCCATATTGAATTTCATGCAATTCAGAATTAACGGAGTTGTAAAAGCGATCGGACATTTCTAAACAAAATTATCGTTCACACGGACAGATAGAGGGACAGGCAGCCAAAGAAACAGACGGACAGACGACAGACAGCAATACAAAATTATAAACGATCTCTAGGATCGTTAATAATCGGCAAAAGTGTAAAATTATGGACATCATAACATAACGAACCAAATAGCGAAAAAAGTAGAACAATAGCTCTTAAGATAAAGAACTAGTATCGTCTCAACGAACGAGCGCACAGACGGACGGACGGACAGCCGGACGGATGGACGGACGGACGGACAAAGTGGTCATAATAGCGCATTTTTTAAAATTTTTGGAAATGCGCTAAAAATAAACCAATATGATACATTGGAAATCTGTCGTATTTAAAACGCAACCGGCGAACATAGGCGAACTAAGACAGAGAATAATTCAAGAATGTCGAAATATTGCAAAACCAACATTTGAAACGGTTCTACAAGAGTTTGAGAATAGATTATACTACTGTCTTACCAATAACGAAAACCATTTTAGTGCAGGGGTTAAGAGCCAAAATATGTTTCAACCTTGCATTTTGTGATAACTTTATGAAACTTTCAGAGGATGTTCTAGACACCATAAGGTTCAATTTCAGCTATGCCGCCACCCCCGCAACCCCGGACGGCACTCGCTATAGCGGGTATAGTATAATGGGTCAAATGGGTCAAAAATGTATGTCCAGGGTTTGTTTTGTATTTTCTTACGTCTAGGAAGATTGAAGGGAATTGTCAAATACCCAGGGAGAATTTATTTAGGGTATTTTATGCGGTTTGCCTATTTTTAAGGCGCTTTTAACAGTGCGGACTAGGGAATGCAATCCCGCAGCAAAATCTCAATCCCGGTATTTGCGGGATTGTTAGATGTTAATCCCGCGGGATCCCTGTATTTGCGGGATCTCGCAAAACTTAATAAGCAATTCTGTGCGGTTAACTTCTGTATTAAAATAAATCGCTAATTATCACAATATTTAACAAAAAAGTACCTTCGGCCTAACTTAGAACTCAAAAAAACCTTACCTGTAAAGCACAAAAAGTCTTCTAAAGTGCCTCAAAAATCATAGTACATTTTTAACGAAAAAAGTTTAACAATTATTTAAAAAATAATTCGCCGTTATCAGTTTCATTAACAAAGTAAACAGAGTCGTCCCCTTGGTCGACAAATTCCTCAGTTCCGCAAATCCCACGGGATCCCGCTCCATTTATGTGCGGGATTAATCTCGCAAAAATGCTGTGGGATCCCGGTATTTCGGGATCCCGCAATCCCGGTATTGCTTTCCCTAGTTTCTACTCTATAACTTTTTATTGAGAAGTCTGATCGAAAAAGTACGAATTGTTTTGGATTCTACGCACCAAAATTAATAAGAAAAAGTGTTTTCCCGAGAAATTTTGGTGCAGTCGATTTTTGGTAATAGAGTAAAAGAGGAAGGTTGTACCGAATTGTGCGACTGCGTAGGCGAGTGTTCTCAACATAGGGTTCAATAATTTTAGTGCCGTAGTTATCGTTAACTTTCCTTTCAGCATTGTAAAGTCTCAATAAATACTTTAGAGCATAGTTAACTATTATACCTATTCAATAGAGCAGCCAAAAGAGGTCTCCGTCACGATTTTACTGCCCGCACTGTTAAAAGCGCCTTAAAAATAGGCAAACCACGTAAAATACCCTACATAAATTCTCCCTGGGTATTTGACAATTCCCTTCAACCTTCCTAGACGTAAGAAAATACAAAACAAACCCTGGATATACATTTTTGACTCCTTTTATGGGCGGGTATTGAAATGCTACCTTGCACTTAAGAAACCCGCTATAGCAAGTGCCGTCCGGGTTGCGGCATAGCTGAAATTGAACCTTAGGGTGTCTAGAACTGTAGAACATCCTCTGAAAGTTTCATAAAGTTATCACAAAATGCAAGATTGAAACCTATAACCCCCGCACTATTTTGAACATTTTATTGCAATAAAAGCCAACTTTAGAAAATGTATCATATTAATTTATTTTTTTAATTGCACGATAATTACTAACCTAAATGGGGGGTCACTATTTAAGATTTAAAAGTTGAAGTGGTTGTGGCCCAGGGTGTGGGAGGGGGTGCGTCGCCAACTATGTCATTGTGATTCCCCCTCCGAATTACCGAAACGGATTTTGATTTTTTTTAATATCTCGATTATTTACTAAGACATGGGGGGGGGGGGAGTGTTCAAATTGCCACCCTGTATGTTATTTAGACAACTATTACATTAAAGCGCCTGTAAGAAGTTGTGGTAAGCGGAAAGTGTCTGGCGATACAGGATATCACTTTATAGTGATATTTTACAAAACATATACATTGATATTCGTGTAGAAGTAGACATAGGGATTTCCTATAGGAACTTCCTATGTCTGCTCCTGAAAGATGCGTAATTGTATGCAATCAAAGTGACTACCTACAACAAATAAGAATTTGCCTGTTATTTTCAAAATTTCTACAATTCTCAAGCCCTGATGATGTAACTGGTGCGTTGCGCATAAGTTGAATCTCGTCTCTATTGAATCGTTTTGCATTACTGATTATTATCAATTGTCCTACTACCATAATAGTTTTGAAATTGCAATACTGATCTATCGCTATTGAATGCTAATGAATGATGATATTGAAATCTCGTAGTTAAATTGGGATATGGAAGGTTTGTATATACTGGATGTAATTCAAATGGCTATGGTGTTTGATGGTAAGAAAGATACAGTAGCAATGAACACTGAACGTGCTCATGGAATAATTATTTATCAAAAAGGTAGGTTAAGCTCTGTAGATTATTGTACTTATGTGTAATGATTTCATTTACAGCTGGTTCTGTTATAAGAATGTTAAGTCACGTTGTAACAGAAGACGTATTCCGTGTTGCATTAAAGAACTACCTGAAGAAATAGTAAGCGTTTTCCGAGTTAAACCATATCACCTCAATTGAATCTATTTCAGCTCATACGAAGCTGTAGTGCCCTCAAACCTGTATGATTCATTCCAAAAAGTTTTGGAAGAAAAAAATTTAACCCAATTAATGAACAACGTCGATGTTAAGACCGTGATGACCTCTTGGGATTCACAAGCCGGTTATCCCCTCCTGACCGTCACCAGAAACTACGAAACAGGCGAAATCAGCCTGTTTCAAGTAAGGCCACATTCTATTTCTAAAAGATTACGGGAATTGGTTTTATTTTAGAAACGTTTCTTTGCTGAAGAACCAATTGCCAGTGATGCATCCAAATGGTATATCCCGATTAATTATGTCACAGAAGGAGGTTTGAACGATGACAGCTATGCGAACACTACTGCTACAATTTGGCTGAAAGAAGATACCGGAAAGCTCGCTAACATGCCGAAGGAGGGGTGGATACTATTTAATAAGCAACAGACCGGTACGTTTACCGAAGATCTTTTGGATATCACTCACTTTCAATTTTAGGTTATTACAGAATCATGTATGACGAAAAAAACTGGAATCTTTTAAAACAACAGCTGAATGAAAAAGATCACACCAAAATTCACATTTATAATAAGGCCCAACTCATCGACGACACCTTCACCTTCGCGAGCAATGGCCAAATGGAGTACGGTGACGCATTTGAGCTAACGAAATTTTTACGAAACGAAACGCAGTACGTGCCCATTGCCACATTTTTGAAACACGCAAGAATGCTGGAGGAAAGGTTAGCCAATCCGACGGCACGGGCGAACTTAAAGGTAAGCGTCCTAGATCTTCGACGCGGGTTAAAAGTTAATTGCAGACATACATGAATCACATTTTGAGTGGAGCTGCAATTGAGAGCGTTGGTATGACAGAGCAGAACGACGAGGCAATAACAAGAGCAGATCTGAGAGTAACTTTAATGCAGTGGTTGTGCAAAATGAGGAATGAACGGTGTAAAACTTACGCAATGGAAACCTTTAACTCCAACACGTCGTCGATTCCACCAAACTTACAAAGTATTGTGTACTGTGGGGCGGCACGCTTCGGTACAACTACTGAGTGGGACAAGCTTCTTGAAAAGTTTAATTCAGCTACACATGAGCTACCGCGAAATAGGTTATTAGCGGGTCTTGCGTGTACGGAGGATAAGGATAAGTTGAACACGTAAGCCTAAAGGTTTTGTACATCAGTTAGGCAAGACGTTTGTGTTGCAGATTCTTTGACATCTCACTAACCCATGAAAACGTTGATCCACTTACTGCCCTTAGCGCTGTTATTAACGCTGGCGATTTTGGAGTAGATTCCACTTTTAAATACATTACAACCAACTTTGACAAAATAAAGAAACTGTAAGTATGCTTGAAATGGTTTAGTCGGCAATTACATTTTTTTTTTGTTTTCAGTTCTTCTATTGAGGATATTCTGAAAGCAGTGGCCACAAGATTGTACACTACTGAACACGTAAATGCGGTAAGTACGAATGTGTCTATGACACGTTTGTTGCTCCTGGCTCCAGGACAATTCATTACAGTATCTGATGATTTATTTGGTGGGTAGCACATTTTGGTATAAATGTTCCATCATCGACACTGTCAGTAGGAACGTAAAACGCTTTGCTTTTGGTAGGTCTGTTCAACCAAAAAGACGATAAGATGTTCGATGTCACGTCATATATCAACTGAAATGTATAGCTTAAGTCATGCCTATTTTATGTCAGGAAATATTTCCTCGCCAGTAATGTGTCATTTTCCTGACTTTTATGTAAATAACTGTAACTGAATCGTGATTTATAATCAAACGTTCCCTACGTATAATTTCAGTTAGCGAAACTGGCAGCTGATCACCAAGACGTGAAAGACACGATTAACATTGCGAAGGAAGTCATTCAGGCAAATGTCAATTGGAATGCGAAGTATGGGGGTGTCGTCTATGAATGGCTTCAATCCCACGTCGATAGTTTGGGGAAGTAAAGGCAAAGACAACGGCGAATCTTCTTCTTGGAACTGGGCTCTACCATCATCTCATATACAATATGAGCATTAAATTTAAGAAAAATGAAATAAGTAGACAAGTACCAATAACTGACACTTTTAACATGAATTTTTTTATTACCTATGTAGAATTTGGAAATCAGAATAAAATATGATCCTATAAGCTAAGGTTTTATTTGTGGTACTGGTGTTATCAGGACCCATCTCCACCGAAAGGTCCTCTTAGTGGATAGCATTGGTAAAATAGTGAAAGAGTGGAGATCAGCGGCACTTTAGCTTTCTGAGGGCTCGGTGGTGAGGAAGTTCGTGCAAGTGAGGATTGGGTTACTGTGCTAATATTAAATAGTTCACTTTATATTATATAGACAGCTTTGATTAATTAATGTCATATTTTTTATTTGATTAAAGCCTAAAGTTTGATGGTAAATTTATTACAATTTAATCAAATAAAATAAATTGGAAAAGCTCTTTAAACCAGACAAGTTTTCTTCAAACCCTGATAGTCCTACGGCTCAACAAGAATGGCTTCATTGGATTCGACTATTCGAAAACTTCACTGAAAAATCTGAATATGTAGTGAAAGACGAAGATCAGTTGCAGGTACTGTCAAATTTTTTTATCTTCTAACGTATTTGAATACATTAACGATTGTAAAACATACAAAGCCGCTGTAGATATTCTTAAAGCTCTTTATGTGAAACCGAAAAACTTGATTTATGCTAGACATCAACTTGCAACTCGAAAACAACTCTCAACAGAATCAATTGATCGGTATTTGAGTGCTCTCAAGTCGTTAGCCAAGGAATGTCATTTTAAGGCCGTGTCTGCTGAACAAAACAAACAAGATTACATTCGAGACGCCTTTATTGCAGGTTTATTTTCATCTAATATACGACAGAGACTTTTAGAGAACAAGTCCCTTGAACTAGATGAAGCAGAAGAAAAGGCTCGATCAATTGAAAGAGCAATTAAAAATTCAGAAACGTACACATGTACAATCAAATTCTGATGGAATATCTAATAACCATTGTTATTCAACGCGTTCTGGAACTACTTACAAATGTTACTTTTGTGGAGGATCTCGTCACCCGCGCTCTGTTTGCCCAGCTCGTGATTTTATCTGTACGAACTGTACTAAAACTGGACATTATCCAAAAGTATGCCTTTCCAAGAAGACTAATAGAACTGTTAAAACATCTGCAGCTCTTAATGATTCAATTGAACCCAAAGCATCCTTGGAAGAAACATTCATTGCAAGTACTGTTGGTGCTAGTTCCTTATCAACTCTATGTAAAGCTGCTATATTAGCAAACATTAATGGAAAAATAGCACAATGCCTAATTGACACTGGTAGCTCCAACAGTTATATCAATGAGAAATTTACAATTATTAATGGTTTTGAAATTTTCCCTGAAGGTACAATTACAGTATCCATGGCATCTACCTCATTGTCATCTTGTGTAAAAGGATGTGTGAAGATAGATCTGAAAATATTAGATCACATGTATATAAACACCAAACTATTAGTCTTGCCAAACTTATGTGCTGATATTATTGTGGGCCATGATATCTTGAAATCGCATTCGCGACTTGATGTTAATTTTGGTGGTCTCAACCCGCCCCTTTCTATGTCTAGCGCTACAGTGTTTCCTCATGTAAATATAGAACCAATTCGAATTTTTTCAAACCTCTCCCCTAATGTGAAACCTATTGCAACAAATTCCCGACGACATTCAGCTGAAGATAATGAATTCATCAGGGAAGAAGTAACCAAGCTCCTTCAAGCTGGAATAATTGAGGAGAGTTCCTCTCCATGGAGGGCCCAAGTAATAGTTACTAAAAATGCTAATCATAAAAAACGCATGGTCATAGATTATTCAAATACTATAAACAAATTCACCGAATTAGATGCTTACCCAGCACCATGTGTGGAGGAGGTGATCTCGGAAGTAGCCAAATATAGTCATTTTAGCACAATAGACCTTGAGTCGGCCTACCATCAAGTTCCAATTTGTGCTGAAGAACGACCGTTTACGGCATTCGAAGCTTGCGGGAGACTGTATCAATTTACAAGACTTCCTTTTGGTGTCACTAACGGGGTACCGGCTTTCCAAAAATTTAATGATAAAATAGTCGACACTGAAAAACTTTGCGGCGTTCATTGTTACATTGACGACATTACAATTGGCGGACGCAATAAAGTTGAACATGACGAAAATCTTAATAAATTCCTTGAAGTAGCAAAGAAATACAATATCAAATTAAACGAGAAGAAGAGTAAATTTTCTACTACTTCCATTAAACTGTTAGGACATCTTATAAGTGAAGGTTCGATCAAACCGGACCCCGATCGTTTGAAGCCTTTGCTGGAAATTTCTCCGCCTAGTGATAAAGGATCTTTACAGAGAGTCGGTATGTTTGCTTATTACTCGAAATGGATTCCACGATTCTCTGAAAAGATTCGTCCCCTGATGAATAGCAAATCGTTTCCATTATCAAAAGAAGCCACATCAGCTTTTTCAAAACTAGAGAGACATTGCCAACTCTTTACTCGTATGTGTGGACCCGAAATTTCCTCTAGTTGTCGAAACAGATGCTTCAGATGTTGCTATCTCTGCAGCTCTCACACAAAACGGACGTCCTGTTGCTTTCTTTACTAGAACTCTTACCGAAAGTGAAAAGAAGTACCCTGCAATAGAAAAAGAAGCTACTGCTATTATTGAGAGTATTAGAAAGTGGAGACATTTTTTGTGCAATCGACATTTCAAACTTATTACTGATCAGGAAGCATTGTCGTTTATGTTCAATTTGCAACATACAAGTAAAATCAAAAACGATAAAATTCAGCGATGGAGACTAGAGATGTCTTGTTATAGCTTTGATATCTCATATCGTCCTGGTTCTCTCAACAAAGTAGCTGACACGTTATCGAGGATTTGTGGAGCCACAAATCACGATGAATTGTATAATTTACACAAATCTCTGTGTCATCCAGGAGTTACCAGAATGTATCACTGGATCAAATCAAAGAATCTACCTTTTTCTTTAGAAGAAATTAAACAAATCACTTCTGCATGTCCCGTTTGCGCAGAATTGAAACCTAGATTCTATAAATGTCAAGAAAATCATCTGATTAAAGCTACAAGACCATTCGAAAGGCTCAATGTAGATTTTAAAGGACCAGTCCCTTCTAACACTAAGAATACGTATATTTTGACTATTGTTGACGAATATACAAGATTTCCTTTTGCCTACCCCTGTGGGGATATGACCTCTGCTACGATTAAAACAAACCTTTACAATCTTTTCTCCATATTCGGGACTCCTGCATATATTCATTCTGACAGAGGAACATCATTTCTCTCGAAAGATCTCATTAACTATCTTCATACACAAGGCATCGCTACGAGTTCATCTACTCCATATAACCCCCAGGGCAACGGAATTGTCGAACGGTATAATGGAATTTTATGGAAAACCATGTCTTTGGCTATGAAGAATAAGGGATTAGAGACTTCGCGATGGGAAGAAGTTTTGCCAGAATCATTACATGCCATACGTTCCCTTTTATGTACATCTATAAATTGCACTCCTCACGAATGGATGTTCTCCCATGCACGTCGTTCGACAAATGGAATAGCTATACCTTCTTGGTTAGCAAATCCAGGAAAGGTACTAATGAAGAGTCATGTACGAACTTCCAAGTACAGTCCATTGGTAGAAGAAGTGGATCTGATTGAGGCAAATCCAGAATATGCTTTAATCCGACGGGCAAATGGGAAGGAAGTTACGGTTTCTTTAAAACATTTGGCTCCAACAGGGGACAGTTCAATATTTGGTCGTGAAGAATCTACAGGTCAAGATCACAGTTTTGAATCTGATCGAGCTGTTCCTCATGTATCAGAAGTTCCTGTCATTGAATCCAATTCCTTCCCCAACCCAGTATTAACAGAAGAACAAAGAAGATCGCAACGAGAAAGAAAACCACCGTTGTCTCTACAAGACTACATTTCAAAATAACGAGGGGAGAATGTGCTAATATTAAATAGTTCACTTTATATTATATAGACAGCTTTGATTAATTAATGTCATATTTTTTATTTGATTAAAGCCTAAAGTTTGATGGTAAATTTATTACAGTTACGTGACGCTAATAAGTCATGGATAAAAGCCACCTTAAATTAAGTGTGTTCAATCAAAAAATTTGCCGAAGAAGTCCTAAATTTTCCACAATCTTAATTTAAAGTTCATATCATTTCGCGCCGAAAGTGAGGTTATAACTTATATTACTCCAAATTTCCATTGAACTGTAAACAACGTAACTGGCAAGGGAACCGGAATGGGCGTACCGTTGAAGCCGTGGGACAGGTACTTCTCATAATACTCACATACTGCTCACCCAAAGCAACGTTGAAAACCATCGACCTATTGCGATACTTAGTATTTTTTCAAAAATTATTGAAAAAGTTGTAGCTAAACCAGTAGAAGCATATTACAATTACTACAAATTAGTTTTCGACACAATTCTTTGACCGAATCTAGTACAATTGAGTAGGTACGTCTAATTTGTGAATGAAAGATTGGGCAGAGGGGATAATGTCGTGTCTACCCTATTTGATTTAGAAAGAGCATTTGACATGATTGAAAAGTCCTTTGTTTCGGATAAATTGGATAGTCCTGGCATACGTAGGTTTTAACAAATGGTTTGTATCTTGTTTAGATTGTCGAAAGATTGATGTCTATTGCAAAGAATTTAATATTGATTTCGGTAGACCTCAGGGAAGTGTTTTGAGGCCACTAGTTTTCCTTGTTTCTATTAATGACCTGGCAAGGCACATTCCGCAAAGCAAGATTCTTCTGTACGCCGATAATACTATCAGATGCATCTTAGGATGTTTTATTGAATAAAGTTAAAATATCTTTTCATGAATTTAACAATTTTTACAATAAAAACAAATTAATACAAACAAGTTGCATTGCTCATTTTAGCTCACGGAAAAGAGTAAAATACGATAAATTCATTTTCAAGTCATGCAACCCACCCATAAAATGTGTGAACTGTAATGGAATCCACAATTCTAGGTATAAAGACTGCCCTGTATATAAACAAAAAGTGGCCATACAGGAAATTAAAGCGAGGGAAAACTATCCTATATTGAAGCA